CAGATACTGAACAGGACTGCGACTGAAACAGATCCCTAGGTAAATTGACACTAGAAACAGTCTTGATCACTGATATCTCCCCAATAACTACTGGTTTTTATTATCTATCGTTAAAGAGGTTTTTAATCCCTCTAATGTGTGTTGTGTTTATTTAAGTATTCTTTTTCTTAAAAATCAAAATTGGTCACTTGGATGAATTCAATTGGTTGAGCAATGTTCAACTGTATCAGTACTGCTTTGTACAATCTTGTCAAAGTAGACAAGACAATATTTGTCTGAAAAGATGTATATTACCTTATACAAAGTCACACTGAATAGATATTAATCCGTTTCTTCAGATTCTAATGTTTTTTAAAACATTCCAAAACTATTTTTATCTTGAATCAACATATGGATAATCAGTTTGTAGCTCGCTGGGTCATACCTTTAATTTTTTCAATAGTGAATCCTGGTGGACAGTGTTCCAGCCTTCTGCAACTCCCCTAGCTTACAAGAATTGGCTAAAACTTAACATTAATGAATAAGAGTTCCTTGCTTTGGCTATTATCTTTGGACATACCTTATCTAGATCTGCTGGTTTTTAAATATTAGTGAGCACTGTCTCATCCTCCTTTGTTATAAATTATATACAAAACGAGATATGGTACAAATACCTCCTGTTACATCATAAACACAGCAAGCTGGGGTTTTTTGTTGCTTTTTGTGTTTTGTGCGTTTTTTTCCCCCCAGAAACACACAACTATTGCCCAATTTTATATTGGGCCTACACCTAGATCTTTTCTCTTTGCATGTAAAAAATTGATGCCTTCTCTGAACCTACATCACCGATATCTCCATGATTAGCACATTTCCTTTCTCACCTGCTTCTTTGTTTAAGTTTGCAGTTATATTCACTGCCATTTACTTCCTCCTCCTCCTCATCCTCCCTGCCTAATGTGCAGAATGCTTTGTGTTTTATTAACACAGTTTCAGTGACTGTGGAATCATGCCTTCTTGGCCATCAGTATGATTTTGTTGAATACTTTATAGCTTCCATGAACATTTTCCTTTTAAAGGTACCTTCCCGGGCAGTTATCCTGCCAATTGTTTAAACTCGAGGAAACAGACTCTTCTAAAGCTCCTTACATTACTGCCTGATGCCATATTCTGTTTGCATAAAGTAAATACAGACAAATAACAATCACTGGTACCTAGGCAACCATGGGATTTCAGGTCAGCTATTAACTCTTCTTTATCTGCTAGAACAAGGTCAACTATTGATTTATTCCACAGTGGGTGCAGAACTGTGTGCGTTAAAAGATGACCTATTCCTTCTAGAAGCTTTCTGGAAGTCTTTTTATTGGCATCATGAAATGTCAAGTAAATATTACCTGTTTTAAGCAGACTATTTTATTTGCCTCCCTATAAGAAGCATATACGTAAGGAAATGGTTGTTCCATTCCTGAGGATATCTCAGGGACCTGTTAGAAACACGTAACAGGTGAGAGATGGTCTGAAACCCGAATAACTTGAATTTGTCAGGAAATCCTCATGTCTGCAGCTCTCGCAAATGGTGAAGGTTTAGAAAGCGTTATGTAATTTCCATTTAATCACGCATGGGACAACACACGTCTGAAGTCCACCTCTACTCAAGTCTGGACGAAAGCGTTAGCTAATGTTCTGCGCCCCAGGACTGGGCTGACCTCTCGCATGCTGTTCCATCCTCAGGGGACTTCTTTACTCTCTCCCTAACATCACATTTATTTCTTCCTCCACAGCTTTGCTGTCTACCCAATTCCTCTCTTTGTACAATAGTTTGGGAAAAAATCACTCCAGGCAAGGATTTTGAGTCTCTTAGATACGACGTTGAGGAGATGTGACCTGACACACAGAAGGGAGAGGGAGAAGATGGGGGTTACAAGCTAGCCACAGCTGAAGACTCAGACAACCATGAGTCCCCTGTAGGAGAAAGGGTAGGTTTCAGTGAGTCACCCAAGGGAAAGCATCCTGATCCTGAAAAAGAAATAGAAGCAAGGAGGATTCACAGAGAAACGCTCTCCTGCTTGAGGCTCTGAGCAAGCTGAGAGAAGCAGCAGTGAGAGAAAAGGGCCAGGTGAACTAATAAGAGGTTTTATAGGGAATATACCACTTACCCAGTTAAAAATCACATCGCTGTGCTGGAACTTGAGATGATGTTGAGAGAAAAAAATAAACCAACAACAAATAACTTGGGGAACAACAGAAACCAACTCATATAGTGTATTTCCCCACCCCTTCTATGTACAACCATTTGGGCTCAAAAAACAATGGAAAACCTTAATGCAAGCAGTTAGGCTGCATTTTCTACAAGTCACTTCTCAGGACAGCAGTTCATTCACATTGCCTGGGTGCCCTCATCTGCAAATCAGAAGCAAGAGTCACCAGGACAGAGATGTTCTTGTCATTTGCATTTCATCCACATCCCCCACGCCAGGAGCACAGGGAGGAACAGCATCAAGGTGAATGAGTGTGAATGGGGCCAGTTGTCAAGCCAAGCACTGGATCTCAAGGGAAGGGGCAGCAGCAATGTGGAACTTTTTATGTAAGCGATGCAGCTCCCAGGAGAGGGGAGCAGCAGTAACACAGAGCAGGACGTGCTAAATACAGATTGTGGCAGGTGGTCCAAGAACTGGCTGTGATTTCAGCAACCGGTTTATCCAAACCGGACGGAACTGCCTACCGCACAACCCTGCAACAGCAAAAAGCAAGCTAAAAAACACAGAGCAGAACAGGCGACTGAAGATTCAGCAATCACAGATTGCCAGGAGATGAGTTTCACCCTCAAAAACATTCCCACAGATGTCAAGAGTGTGACAATCTAATGTATGAACAACACGGAAGCAAACCCAGGCCTCTTGCAACAGAATCACAGAATCATAATTTTGGCTGGGACCTACCTCCAGAGGTCATTTAGTGCAAGCCCGGCTCAAAGCAGGTCTAATGAGATCTGGTTGGCCAGGCTGTAACCAGTCAAGTCAAATACCTTCAAGGATGGAGGTTCCACAACCTCTCTGTGCAACATGTTCCACTATTTAACCATCCTCTCAGTAAAAAAAAAATAAAATTTCCTGATATCTAATTGAGATTTCCCATGTTCCAACTTGTGTTTGTTGTCTCTCATCTCATCATCACACACAACCAAAAAGAATCCAGCTACATCTTTTCTGTATCCTCTGATCAGATAGTTGCAGACAACAAAAATATCCCCCCTCTGCTTTCTCTTCTCAAAGCTGAACAGGTCCAGGTCTCAGACTCTGCTCACATGTCATGTTCTCCAGCCCTCTGACGATCTTCGTGGTGCCCACTGGGCTTGCTCCAGTATTTCACTTATATGAAGTGCACTTCTTGCCCTGGAGAGCCCAGATGCATTGGGCTCTCTTGCATGGAGAGCCCACACAGTATTCCAGATGCAGTCTGACAACTGCTGAAGACGGGGAGGATCGCTTCCCTGGGCCTGCTGGCTACTCATTAACACAGCCCAGGACACGGTCGGCCACCTTTGCCGCAAGGGCAAGCTGCTGCTTATGTTTGATTTGCTGTCCATCAGGACCCCCAATCTTTTACTGCAGAGCATCGTCCTAGACAACTGGCCCCCAGCCTGCAGGGGTTATTCCCTCCCAGATGGAAGGCTTGAAACTCACTCTTGTTGAGTATCTTAAGATTCCTTTCAGCCCATTTCTCCAGCCTGGCCAGGTCCCTCTGAATAGTGGCCTTGCCCTCCTGCGTTTTGACCACTCCTCTCCATTTGGTCTCATCCATGAAATAGCTTCTTACGGACACAAAAAGCTTCAAGAACAAGGAGCAAAAAACCTCTCACAATTGGGACTCTTGCTGAAGACCATCAGTGAAATTTTTATCATTTCTGCACATTTTGTGCACTTTGTACTGTCCAAACTATGAACACATAAGCCCAATTCTTCTCTCATTTATAGCAGTCTAAGCTCGAAGTCCATGAATTTGACACTTTTACGATACTGTAACACTACTCTCCATGTGAGAGTGAGTGTGTAGGTGCGTGCATGCACACCCACACAGATGGCTCAAGAGATGCAACAACTGAAACAGGAATACTGCAGAATTTGGAGGAACAGCTGGCTATGCAGTTAGGACCAAGGTATACACTCAAAGCCAAAGGTGGCAAGAGGAACCTTAGCTTTGGTCTTTCCTGACTTGAGTCCTCTACACTGCACCATAAACAGGCAGCACTGTTAACTTTATAAATAATAAGGAATATTTCTGAAGACTTTAAAACATGCCCTCAACCAAGGATGCTACCATCATATCAACAAGTCAAATATTCCTGATGATGATGATGATATATAAATAACTTGACCTGAAGGCTAGGTCATGAAGCATCTAGCTCATTTATCTCTGTGTTCACATGGAATGAGTCACCACCTATACTCATGTGAGCAAACTCTTCCTCAAAGAGCTTATAAATTGAGAATGATAAATAGCATACAAAGATTAGGGAAGACAAACTATTTGGTCAAAAGAAACAGTATGTATATCATACACAATGTGAAATACCATCTGACTTGCACTAGCTTTTCCACATGCAATTGCTAGTTGGCCAATTCCTAGCAGCAATTTTTCATCACAGAAGTGGATCATGAGGAAAGACATAAATATTTCAACAAGTTTCTAAGCAACTGAAAAACAGTGCTTTGCAAAGGATATATTAAGTCAATGTTTAATCCTAGTCTTTACTGGGAAATAAGATAAAGTTTTGCTCTTTTTTTTCCCAAACCACTTGTTAGGTTACGCTGAACATCTTGATATGAACAACACAGTTATAGTTTTCATGTGTATTTACCAGCTGAGGTAAACGCTACGAATTGTCCTAGTCCTGCAAATATTTTACAGTGTGCCAACTAAATTGAGGAGGAAGGGCTTTTCATTCGCATGAGTACACCAGCACCATGTGTCCCACCTGTGGGGAAGGACAATCTGCCATGCCTTAAAAGGCACTGGTAACTTACCCCAAACATCTGCCGAAGGTCAGGATCTCGAAAACGGAAGGGAATGTTAGACACATGAAGTCGTTTTGGAGTGGATTTGCTCTCGGTATTCTCACTGCTCTGTGTCTGTGATTGCTGTCCATCTGTCTGTGCCCCTCCTTCTGTCTGCTGAAATCAGAAAGACAAAAGTGTCTGCATGAATAAAACCCACACAAACTCCTTTCACGTGCTTTGTCTATCTCTTTTTAGGTATTAGTACTACACTTGCAATTGTGGTATCTAGCACTTGACAATTATTTTGATAAAGCCAGTAACGCTTAACAATTGATCTGTTGTTCTTCCCCTCCCTTTCCATGAGTAAACAGTAATGAGATCTCAGCCTCCCTCCCCTCATATCTCCTTTTAGCTTAGTAGATTTGCCTTTGGTTTTCTTAAATTGCTTCTCTCTTTTCGCCTGTTCTTCCTCACTTCAGCTGCCACCATATGAAAGCTCTAATGAAGAGGCGGATCTTTCATATCCTGAAGCTGGGAGGTAGTACCGCCACTCTAATCTCATGTGGCAGGATGTTCATACAATCATCAAAATCCCACAGCTGAAGTGGCAGCTCTTCACTGGGCCAATACCAGAAATGCATCCCCAGGCAAAACTGCATCTGCTCTGTCAAGCTCCCTTCAGAGAAACATCACCCCAAAAGAAGATCCATAATTAAATGGTAAAATCCATATATGAACGGCTTACGGATGTCTTTGATTAACTTTTCTCATACATTTACAAGTCAGCCCAGGGACAGGAAACAGTCATTACCACTGCAGGATTTATAAAAACTCCAAGTGTTACTTTCTGCTACCAATTCCACAGTTAAAACAAGGGAATTTGTTCCAGCATTCCCAAGCACTGACTGGTACAGCGAAGCCAGGTCAAGGGGTGGGCCAGGGGTAGTTGTGCACAGAAAAAGTACAGCAAGAAGGCAGAAGCATAAGGGAGACCAGTGTGCCGGAGGAGACCTTACACCCCCACAGAGATGACTAGCAGGGGAGAAGAAAGGAAGAGAACCTCAGCCACTTGTGTTGGGCTTAGACTAAGAAGTGGTAAAGTTTGAGCACAGCACTAAATATAAAGGCAAGGTCCCTTTGCAAAATGGCTTGATGAGAAAATGGTATTTTTCACACTTTAGTCAGCAAAATAACCTCAAAAACACAGAGCTACAGAACAAAGTAGACTACAATTTGGTCGGTTTTATTGCTCTGTCCCTTTCTAAGAGCATGCATTGACAGGCCAAGGTATTGAAAGAGCACCCACCCACTCACACTATCTCCTGCTGCTTGCCTCAGCCTCCTAGGAGTCATGCTTTGACCACCTGTGTAATACACTTTTAAGTGTCATTTCATTTCTTTAGATGCCAACCTGACTTCTTCCTTAACCCATCAAGTGAAAAGAAGTTCTACGAGAAGGCAAGGACCATGTAATTGCTAGACTCAGCCTTTTTTAGGCACCTTCAAGAACACACGCAGGCCTTAAAAATAAAGATTTAAGAGTAGGGGTTTTTTTTGCTGTTTTGGGGCCTTTTCCCCCCCCGCCCTGTTTTAAATGCACAATTTGTGTACTAAAGAGGAAAGAAATCTCGTGGGAGTTGCCCACACTGACTCCCCAACCACTGTCTGGACTTGTTAGACTGCTCTGCACATCATTCAATATACAACACTTCATGAATATTTGGAAAGAAACATCTCCCCACAGATAAACTAAACTGGCAACATTAAAAGCTTCTTCTGGCCAGAAACGTCTCTTATAGACATGACCTTGAACTTGCATATTGGTTATAAAGCGCTGACAAGAGCAAGCAAACAGTAAGCACTGGGGTTTTGTCGCGCTAAGCAAAGCACTGGCAGCTCTCTGTTTTACTTTAGTAGGGCTGCGCAGGCAGCACAAAACATGTTTGATCTGGTTAATATAAATTAAGCTGTGATAGGAAGAATGAAGATACCGCCCTGCGAGTATCTCTACTTCCCAGAGCTGTGCAAGTCTCAGGAAAAACCTAGCAGGATGAAGCATTTTTATTTGGCTAACACTCATCCATTCCCCAAACAACAAATTTTTGAGAACAACCTCAGAAACTTCCATTTGATCGTATCTAAAAAGTTGCCTCCCCCTCTCCAAGTTCCCCCTCTTCTCCTACCCTCACCCCTATGACAAAATGCATCTCCAAACATACAGAGTGTGCACCCTAGGGGAAGAATCGATGCAGCTGGCTTGCAATTCAATCACACCATGCTATTTGGTGGTTTTATTTTTATGACTCCATCAGAGTCCTTTGCTCCTCAGGGCAAATCTGTCCAAGAAGGACAAAACACAGGAGTAGCCTATCCGTCACTACCATACATAACACCTGCAAGTGAGTGCTCCAAAATAACTCCCCAAAATCATCAACACTCCTGCTAAAAGGGATCTCTACAATCCATTTTGAGCCCTGCTAGTGCAATTTGCCAAATCCCATGTTTTCTATGGCTTTGCATGGAATTGGCAAGTGGGTAAACACCCATGCACACAGGTGCATCCTCAAACAAACACACTAGTGCATCTTCTGCAGTGTGAATGAGGAACAGCACAGATTCTGAAAGGTGACGACAAAAAATGTTTTCGTCTTTAAATTCAAATATAGGTTGCACAGGACTGGATCTGCCGCTTCTATAGGGGAGGAAGCCAGGAGGTCGTTAGCACTCCTATCCCATCCATTTGTTCACAGGCAGAGGGCAGAACTCCTTTCTTACCAAGGGTGCAATGTATCATGTACAGTGGCCTGCTCAAAAACACTCACAGCTGCTCCTGCATATGGCAGAGTGCTGCTGCCACCCAGGAGTCATTTTGCAGCATGTGAGATGTGTACAGTAAGACAAAGGCTTCAAAGAGGAGAAACAATAGGAGGAACAAGGGATCTCAGTCCACTCTTACCTTTTTGGCTACACTAAGAGTCCCCAAATGCTTTTCAGGCTTTCACATATCCTGATTTTTCAGCAGTAGTTTAACATTCAATACCTCCTCTCTCTGGATGCTGTAAGCTCCCTCATTTCTATCCTCCATGGCCCTAAGGTAAGATTTGAACTTTCAGCCACTATAACATTAGCTCAATACATTTGTCTACTGCCACACATTCAGCTACAACACAAATGAAAGAAATGGTCTCCTCAGATCTTGCCCCCCCCCCCCGCCATAGTTATTCCTTGTCTTAATTTGTTAGGAAGGAGATGAAAGGGAGGGCCTGGAGCCTGTTCTCAGGCAGCACGTAATGGAGACTGGCAACAGCGCTACCCTGACCAAGCCAGATGATAAAAGCCTGCATTTCACCAAGTGCCTACTCCCCACCCCGACTCCTTCCCCACACCGAGTTTCAGCTCCTTCCTTCTGGCCTCACGTCAACACTTCACAGCAAAGAACCAGCCCTCTCCCTTCACTACAGACAGCAATTCAGCTCAGAAGGGAGCTAATACATGTTCCCTAGGTCTCAATGCCTGTCATCAGGCAACACAGAGACATGCTGCGGCAAAGATCCTGCGTTTAGAAAGAGTATTGGATCACCTTACCTCCTCAGCATAGTCTGCGTAACATACACTTACGCAGGTGATAATGTCATTCATGCCTGCACATGCAAGCTTTGAGCTCTGCTCAAGGTCACTGAGAAATGCATCAGAGCTCAGGACGTGCAATATATGCTTCACTTGTAACTACTTGCTGCCTGCACCCCTGTGCCAGCTCCTCCCTTACACTCGCCAGCAGTAAGGAAACCCTAAGCAAGAAGAGGCAGCTGCAAAGAGAAGCATTGGATATATACATGTGTACATATGCATGTAAAAGGGGAGGAGGACAACTGGCAACATGAGGGTGTTCTGAAAGGTTTGGGGGCAGCTCCACAACCATCTTCCCACCTCTCGACTAGACTCTTCTGTCCTAAAGGAGCTGATGAACAAGCAATTGCTGAGGATTTCTCCTCAGCGGGAGGGAGGCAGGGGCTCCAGTGCCACCTGAGCTCCAAGCAATCTCCATCTGCGTGGCCAGACAGAGGGCTACCTCCCCGAAGAGCCAAACACCAATGCAATGGGCCAGCACAGAGACTATTAATACCCAGCACATTCTGTTTCCATCTCCCACTTGCTTCTAGAACTGGAACCGCTTCAGGTCCATTACAGAAAAGCAAAAAACAACCCCCCATCCTCTCCCCCAGGAAGCAGGCGGTCCAAAATGTTGTGAATCATAATGAGGAGGTTAAGAGCCATAAATCGCTGCAAAGAAAATATTTACAAAATACAAACTGTAACTAATAACTATATTTAAAAGGACTTGGGTGGCTTACAAAATTTGGGAGACAGTGTGCTCACTCCACTGCTTCTAGACCAGTCTCAGACAAAAAAAAGACCTTGTTTGGATCAAGAGCTTGAGGAACTGTGTGGAGACAAGGACTGAAAGCTATGATTGGCAGAAGGCAATCTTCCCACCACAAAGGAGAGTGCAGACAACGTGGGAAGATCTCTGCAACTTCTAGTGAAGAACCCACATCAAAACAGCCAGTCACCCACCAATGAACAGATATCCACTGAGCAGGTTTGGTGGAAAAACGAGTGAAGAATTAGGCACTAGACACAAAACCCCTCTCCTGCCCCACCACACTCTACCAGACTAGGACTGAGATCCTACACATCCAAGAGCAAAAGGCATTGGAACTTCTGCTGCTTAAACGACACTTGTTTAGCAGACAGAAGACTGCAGGGCTAATAATCACCTTTCAACAGCAGTAAATATAATTTTGGAATTATATCAATGTACTTGATTTTTCAGAGATGCCAGCAGTGTTATATTAAAAAAAAATTGGGCTACACTGCAGGCACAATTAACAATGTGCCCAAGTACTTTATATGCCAAAAACCGGACAAAAAAATTGCTAAGGACGTATCAAGTAACTTCTGCTAGGCTGTTAACTATTTTCAATATAGTCAGATTAATTCAGGGCACATTTTCTGATTGTTAGTTACCTGTTTTCAGACATACGGAAGTTTAAGTCATTTTGTTCACTTTCCTCATTAAATAAAGACATACCCCACCTGGTCAGAACACAAACCCAACATAGGAAAGTACATAGGAAGCTTTGCTACCTATCCTGCACAACAAAGACATC